TTTCTTTGGTGCTGCACTCTTCTCTTCTTCCTTTCTGTCCTTTCCTATGAGTTTTTTGTCAATGGTCTTGTCTTTGTCCTTGGGGGCCTTTTCTCCTTTGGGTTTTTCATTGCATTTACTCTCTAATTCTTCCTTTCCTTTGTAACTTGTTTTCTGAGCACATTCTCCTTTGTTACGTTCTTTTCCCAGATCAAAGTCTCGTTTCCTGACAAGGTCTTGGGAACGAACTTCCTTGCCCTTTCCTTCCAGGTTCCTGGGATCTCTCTTCCTCTCTGCTGGCGTCCCTTCCTAATGAGAAAGAAAATTAGAGAAAGAAACAACAAACTATTAGATACAACTCTGTGATGTTATCTGATTAAAATATGACCATATAGATCATTGTTGCAACCACTATATTTGCAGCAAATATTGTACAAAGATTGTCGAGTGAGGTGTCTATGAAAAGGTCATGATTTGCTGGTTATGATTATGCAATTTGTATGCATGTGTCATTTTTGTATGTGAAGTTATAAGTATTGGCTCTATACTTGGATTTCAAATGTTTGCTCCTGGGGGAACACCCACAAAGTAATTAGCCAGCACATCTTGGAGGGACTATTCAAATTGAGTAACCCATCGAAAGAACATTTAACTGACAATGGACCATGGGAGATGCCCATCTATACTTAATGGAATGTCCTGCTATGACTAGGCGAAATGCATGGACATGTGACTTCCCTGTGTAACCCCAAACTCCATCTTGTTGCTGTGATTTTCCACAGTAAAAACAATGGGATGCCCTCCACATGGCAAAAGCTATAAAAGGCCTGGAAACACCTCCATTTGGTCTTCAATCCTGCTTCTTACCTCTGGAGGAGCTTTGTTACAAACTGAAGCTCTGAACAATGGACTGAATGACTCATCCAAGCTGTGGATGTACTCCAGAGACTTGATTTGAACCTGCAGTTTATTCCATCACTGCTACAAGCCTGAACCAAGAACTTTGCCATTACTGTATGTAATTGATTCCATTTAACCAATTTTAACTCTCACCTTTCTTTCTTTCTTTCTTTCTTTCTTTTTATAAATAAACCTTTAGATTTTAGTTAATAAGAATTGGAAGTAGCATATATTTGGGTAAGGTCTGAAACATTCATTAACCTGGGAGGTAATGTGTCCGATCCTTTGGGATTGGTAGAACATTTCTTTTATATGATGAAATAAGATTTACAGAAATTTTCATCATATTTGACATGGGTACCTGGATGGAGGCCTGAGGCTGGATCACTTTAAGGGAACTGTGTTGTTAAGACTTCTGAGTAATCAGTGAGGTAATAAAGAAGCTGTTTTATGCTTGCTTGGTAAATCTAGGTATTGGAATATCCACCAGCTTTATGGGGATTGTCTGCCCCATTCTTTGCAGTTCACCCTAGTTGAGTGACCACAGCTGGCTCCCCACTAAGCCCCCGATCACAAACTCCCATAACTGTCTAGCAAATATAACAGAGTAACTGGGTAGCATTCTGTTTCTGTTATTTACTATAATGTCAGTGCTGCTTAATGCAAAACAGTTATAAATTCTGTTGCTATTCAGGTTTTTCAAAGGTAGATTAATAACTCTCGGTATTAATCTGAGTCTCCACAGTATACAATACACATCCAAACACACTAATCAGGCATTGTATGATACATGTGGTATGTTGGTAGCTCATGAAAAGAACAGAAGCCTTGCCAGACTAGATCAGACCCAGGATCCATCTAGCCCAGTACCCTGTTTTGGACAATGGTCAGCACCAGATGCTTCAGAGAAAGGTACAGGAAACCTCCAGTAGCAGATGTGGGATAATCCATCCCCCACGACAGTCTCATCCTAATCCCTACTTGTTAGAAATTAACAAAATAAAGCAGTGGCTGAAATGGGACTCGATTAATAAATATTTAAAGGAGGGTAATATAATTAATTAATGGAAGCCACTGGCATGAAGACTGAAGTGCTCAACATCAAGACAAAAATCAAACTTGTTTTTTTGAACATAGATGGAATGTACGAAACAGGGAAGCTAGCTCAGGTCACAGCAAAGATGAGACACTACAGTTTACACATCCTGGGTGTCAGCGAGAGCAGATGGATGGGATCAGGAAGACTAACAATAGCCTCGGGAGAAACTTTGCTGTATTCTGCACGGGATGATGAACAACACCATGAGGATGTTGCTACCCTTTTGAAGAAGGGAGTGGAGTGGTCCCTGCTTGAATGGAAGTCCATCAGCAGCAGATTTATGAGAGCCAAACTGAAAGGGAAACACAATAATATCACCCTCATCCAGTGCTATGCTCCGACAAATGACAGTGATGAAGAAGCAAAGGACAAATTCTACCTTACACTACAGGCGGAGTTAGAGAAAGTACCACGCCACAACCTAACTATCATCATGGGAGACCTAAATGCCAAAGTTGGTAAGGACAACACAAACAATGCCAGAGCAATGGGAAGACATGGGTGTGGCACCATGAATGAAAACGGAGAGAGACTTGTTGATCTCTGCAATATGATCGACCCAGTCATCGGCGGAACCCTATTTCAACATTGTGAAATTCACAAGCTGACATGGTGTTCTCCAAATGGCAGAGATAAGAACCAGATTGACCATATGATGATCAATGGCAAATGGCGACGCTCACTGACAGATGTGAAAGTGAGAAGGGGTGCAGATGTTGGCAGCGACCACCACCTTGTGACAGCCTCCATCAAGCTAAAACTGAGAAGTGTGGGTCCACCAAACAAGGGACATAGACGTTATCACGTTAACAAGTTAAAGGTCCCTGAAATACAGAAAGCCTTCGTTTTGCAGTTAAAGAACAGGCTACAGGCACTTGCAGACAATGAAGAGGAGGGGAACACAGATAAGGGGATCAACAAGAAGTGAGACAAAATAATAACAATCTATAAACAGAGCAGTGAAGCTTGTCTAGGCTACAAGCAGAAGAGAAGGAAGGAATTGATTACACCCAGCACATGGAACGCCATAGAAACCAGACGAGCTCTGAAGAAAAAAGTTTTAGACACAAAATCCCAGAAGCTAAAGGACAAATACCACAAGCAGTACAGCGGGGCACACTGGGAGGTCAAACACCTTGTGAAAGTGGACAAACGACATTATATTGATAAACTGGCAACACAAGCAGAGGATGCAGCTACCCGTGGTGAACAAGGAACTGTCTAAAAAAATGATGCAACTTATCAGTGCAAACGGCAGACACCAACAAACACACTCATCAAGGACAAACAAGGCCACCCACTGACAACAGAAAAAGAACAAGAAATATGCTGGACAGAGCACTTCAAAGAATTGCTGAACAGGGAGCCACCTAAAGAGGAAGCAAACATCTGGAAGGCAGAAGAAGATCTTGATATCAACACAGACACTCCAACTAAGGAAGAGATCGTCCATGCCATCAAATCCTTAAAAAATGGGAAAGCTCCTGGCAAGGACAACTTGAATGCAGAATTGTTCAAGGTAAATCCTGAGTTAGTAGCATCTATCCTGGCCCCTCTATTCACATCAGGCTGGGAAAGGGAAAAAGTGGCAGATGAGTGGACCAATGGGGTTATAGTGAAGATACCACAGAAAGATGCTCTCAGTGATTGTAATAACAGGCATGGTATCACATTTTTATCTGTGCCAAGCAAGATATTGTGTAAGATCATAGTCCAGTGTCTATCAGAGACAGTTAATAGCATTCTCAGAAAAGAGAAAGACGGTTTTTGGAAAGGGTGGATG